CGTCGACAGAAGCCGGACACCGTCCAGGACAAGCGCGGGGCCGTACCGAAATCTCTCGTGGCCCGGGGTCGTCGGCACGTACCGCGACCCGCCAACCGTCGCGCGCAGCGTCGAGTTCGCCAGCAGCACACTCGAGTTCGGCGGCATCGCGCCATGCAGCACGATCGTGCCCTCCAGCGACGTCACATTCGTCATGTTGACGAGGGCATGGGGCATCAGGTGCGCCGTGATCTCGCTGAGGCCACCAATCCGCAGCTGCGCGCCACCTGCAAGCACGCAGTGGCGCAGCGTCACGTTCAGCGCGTCAGCGAACGCGTCCATCAAGCGCAGGTCCACCGCCACAGTGATTGGCCCTCTGAACACCACCGAGTCGAAGCACGCCGTCGCCCGCCCGCCGCCAACCGTCACCGACTCCATCAGCGTCACGCCACTCACGCAGTCCCGCGCAGTACCGCCACCACCGCCGGACCTCGCAGGCGGCACGTCGAACGGCAGGCACGCCTCGCCCACGCCGCCGGCACGGCAGCCGCACACGCAGTCGGAGAACGACGCCGTCAGCGCATCAAAGCACGCCAGCGCAGCCGCACAGCCGTCGCACGGAACCACGCTCACGGAGGGCAGGCCGGCCATGCGGTAGTCGCCGCTGCTCTGCAGCACCCGGCCGCCGGCACGGTTGCATTGCACCGACACGACGCCGCTCGTGATCGTCAGCCCGGAGACAAGCGTCGCGCCAGTGGCAGCGCAGCGCGCAATAGACACGGTGCCGCCACTCAACGTCACCCCCGACAGCGACGCCACAGACGAGGCCTCGCCCACCGCCCACACGTCGTGCAGCTCCAGCCACCCGCCAGCACCCACCGTCCCACCGTCGCAGCGCACCAGCGACGACGCAACAGACCCCTCGACGCCCACGAAGCGCAGCACCGAGTCCGACACCGCGAGGCGCTCGCCAAGCACAAAGCCGCCGCCACTGCTCACAACCGACATGTTCGTCACGGAGAACACCGAGTGGCTCCGCAGACTGAGACGCGACGAGGACGCCACATGCAACGCGAACGCGGTCGAATCGCCCGACGCCTCCAGCAACACGCCGTCAAGCACCACCGCGCTCGACAGCAGGTCCACACCGCCGCCAACGTGCACCGCCGACCCGCCCGCCTGTAAATACCTCAGCACAGTGTTGCTCACACGCAGCTGCGTCTGCAACAGCGACGTCGCGTGCAGCACAAGCGGCGACGCCACCGCGTCCATCAGCCCGCTCAGCTGGGAGTAGCGCATCGGCCCCGCCGTCACAATCGTCGAGTCACGGACCGTCACGTTCGTGCGTGCCGGCAGGCTGTGCACAAACACAAGCGAGCAGTAGCCGCCGGACAGCCTGCTCACGCTCACCTCCAGGCTCCGGTCACTCGCCGGCTCACCGCTGTAGCCCCGCACGTAGATCTGCGCACCGCCGTCGCACACGCAGTTCCTCAGTTCGATGCGCAGCGCGCCGGGAAGCATCGCCGGCACGTCGAACACCACGGCCACGCCGTTCGTGACGTACACGCCGTCCATCAGCACCGTGTCCACGGCGTGGCCAACCGTGATGGCTCTGTCCACCGTGCCGCCCCGCAGTCGCAACACCACCGCATGCGCCGCGGGCATAAACGCCGTCGCCGCAACCAGCGCCAACGCCACAAGCAGTGCCACACGCACAGCCGCAATGGCCCTGCGCCGCACACGGTGCCGGCTGCGCGGACACGCACCCACCGCAGACCACATCCACCAACCCAACCAGGTATCAACAGGGCTTTCGTGGTGTGTCGCACTCGTCCCGTCAAACGTAACTCCTGCTTCGCAAATCCCTTTCTACAGATGGCGAATCTAGTGATACGATCCCGCCAGATCTTTACCCTACTGCTGCTTCGAATCCTAATACTGCAAGTAATCCCTAACACCTTGAAACGATAGTTGTGCTGGCAAAGCCAAAGTAACTCTAACTGCACAGTCAGAGGGGAAAAAAAGAAAGAGGAAGCAACAATAGTAACCAAACACAGTGGCACGCTGAGACATCCGGCCACAGACAGTCCCCACAAAAGCATAACAACCGAGAAAAGAAGCGCAGACGCAACCACGCCAGTGACACCCTCGCCCTCCCACCGCCCACGCAGCCCCACACAGCCACCATTCAGAGTGGTAAGATCCCAGCAAAAGACACATGACCATTGGCACCGCTCTTGCAGCCAAATGGTTCTACCACAGAGCAGTCCCGATGCAGTGAAAGACGCACAAGAGCCGAGGCAGGCCACGTGGCAGCGTTACAGCCGGCAGCCATCGAGCGCGTCAAAGAACGTGGTAATGGTGACGTGGAAGAGGGGTGGAGAAATCGCCGCTCGCCAGCAGTCAAGGCGTCGTTTCTCGCTCACGTGGGTCGGCATTGCACAGCAAGCAGCGGCATCATACGCGCACACGGCACACACAAGAAGGGCGAATAAAGAACTGCGGTGACGGCACTCAGACACGGGGAAAAAGAGTCCACATCGATTGTGCGGCCTGTTTGCTCATAGACGACCGGTTTGTAATAATGTCGTTGCCCTGCAGTTCTTCAGTCTGCAGGAGGCTGGGGAATGGAGGGAAGGGGGAGAGAAGGTGCGGCCCTCATCCATATCGGTTGGATGTGACACCGGTGACGTCATCCCGTCAGATCGCCTGGAGCAAAGACCGTCGCCGTCAGCAGCGGTCGGTGCCTTCCTTCTCAAACTGGGGCGCCACTCCACCAACGCAGTCGCTCGCCTCCTCCCTCACTAACACAACGAGGGAGCAACAGCGGAAGATGCGATACGTGCGACGAGTACGCAGCCGGAGAGTCCCATTGCTGCCGCCATGAGCAAACAAGGCTGGCTGCAGGACTCAAAAAGAAGGGTAAACACCCCATCAAACGCTTTAGCATCACGTGGAAGAACCGCAACCAACACACAAGGCGAAGCACCGTGAAGCAGGCACCAAAACCAAACCTCCTCCAACAAATTCACCGTAAAGCAAAGAAAAAAACACAATTTGAAAAAGAAAGTGCCGGTGCAGATGCAATAAATGGTTGTGTTGCGCAGCAGCCGTGGCATCGCGCCCCTCCCTCACCAAACGGCACCGCACCGCAACGCACCGTGACGACAGCCTGCAATAACGACGATTGAGTAGCACGCACAAAGCGGCATAAACCTTCCATCCCGCACTCGCGCAAATTTACGCTCTCAGTATGCACTGCCAACAACATCGGGAAGGACACAGAAGGGGACTGTCCTGTCCATCCTCCTTCCGCTCACAACAGACCCTCCCCATCCTCCTCCTCGATAAGCCCTGGATGCTGCGAGAGGCTGCGAAGATGAGCCACGTGTATGGAATTCCCTAATGCGCGGGGCAGGGCTGGCAGTTTCCCACTCACAAAAGGGCAAAGGCAAGGACATGGAGAAGAGAAGCCCGCCGTACAGTGCATTCAAGAGGGCACACGCAGAAGCACCGCCATCCACATCGTAACGCAAAACAGCAATGCGCACGGCACACCCACGACCGCAACAAGAGGGACGAGACGCATCTAATTCACGGCGCAGTCCTTTACTTACCTCCGCCCGGACGAACTAGCGTTACGCCTCACAGCGGTTCGTGGCGGTGGCGTCCCACACTCACAAATGAGGCACGGCGCACACCATCTTCTCCCCCCCGTGTGCACTCAGCAAGCCAGGGCAAGGCGCCCATTCACCCTCGTGCTATTGCAAAGTGGTAACACAAGCTATCATCGTCGTGGACCATCGGTGCCTCTAGCAGGGAAAAAAAAGGGAATGGTGCCATGTCGGAAGCACAGCCAGGAGAGAAAAAATAAAAAAGACGCATAGACACGCGGTGGAAAGGGGTATTAAAAAAACAAAAAGAAGGTCCACATTAGATTACAAAAAAAGAAAAAAGCACATTTGATTCAGCAGGAATCTTATTTCATGTACCATGCAGCACAAAACGACCGTGTGTTTGTGTATATACATATTGACAGGGCAACAAAAGGAAAGAAAGAGGAATTAAAATAATAAAAAAGATATACTGTTCCATGAGCCCACCCAAAACATTCTTCATATTTCGTTCGGTATCCGGCCTGTTCCTCCAATTCTCTTTTCCTGCTGTCGGTGGGACGCAGGGCCGCAAGACCGGCACCGCGTGTAGACCACAAACAAAAGCAAACAAGAGGGTAAAACAATTCGCTCAGTGTAGTGTCCAGCAACCGAACATAAAAAAAAAAGGGGGATAAAAAGTAGAATAATCTTCCGGGCAGCTGGCCGGATCCTGAAATTATCTATGGAAACCAAACAAGTTAGGAAAAAAGGTTCTTTAGTTAATTGCTTCAATGTTTTATTCTCATTCAATATATAGAATTCTGTGGACCATTAGCATGGTCCGTTGTCCTCAGTTAGGATTTGAAATATTATTAATTACGAAGTGGCAGACTTTGGGGTCCTCCAACCAAAAGACCCCGCCGCGTGGTGGGAATCAAGGGGGTTAGGGTGGGATGGCAAAATAAAATTTAAATATTATCTGGCCTCTATCGGTTCCCGCCCCTACAAAGTCGCGTTCTTCCCAAAAGATTCATACGGTAGAAAGTATCATAAAGAATGCATTCATTTATCAGGATATACACATACATTAATTAAGTTAGCCAGCTCTCCCGTGATCATTCTTTTCACAAGCTCCTAAAAAAAAAAAAATGCAGGGAACGCGGTGCACATTCTCCGTGAGGAGTCGCAATTCCACACTCTTCGGCTCAGCAAAATGTCACGACTCCACACAGTCCCGGAATCAAAAGCAGCATCGGCCGGGACACACGCGCACGCGCAGTGCTGTCGGCATTTAAATCCTGCAGTATCAACTTCACGTCGCGGAGCAGGGCGAGGCGGTCGTCTGGAATCGTACTGCCCTCGGATGCTGAGTGAGTGAATATTTTGTGGAACGGAGGTGTCATTTTTAGCGGCAGTGCGTGGACTTCATTCTCCCGTAACATTCTCAGCACTCCATTCATCGTCTGCAAGAACAGTGACAGACGGAGAATCTCTCCGCAGTGCAATCAAAGCTGCTTCAGCATTTGCCATGAGCGTCGTCTCCTGTGCGAATTCCTGCGGTATGACAGCCGGCTGTCGAGTGGGAGCCCCCCTGGCGTTGAGTTCGCGCAGCTCCTCATCGTCCAGTGCGTCTTTTTGCAGAAGAATATTGACGGCCGTCAAACGGCCGCTCCCCTTCACTTCCTCGCTGCCCGCACCAAAGTAGAAGCGTGAGTTCCAGTGTGAAGCAAAATGTCCAACATCACGGAAATCGCGATGGCCAAAACGCAAAAAATTTTCAAGCGCAAAAAAAAAAAGATGGATGCTCCTCACTTTCTCTCTATCCGTACTTCCCGACTTCAACGCCCTACTACGCATGCATTCGCCCAAATGAATATGAGCACCGCACCACAGCCACCACGCTCAAATAAATAAACAAATAAAAAGCTTTCAGACGGAGATTAAACGTTAATAGTTCCTTTTTTTTTGTTTTTTAACGTCGGACCGCTTCAGCCCAAGAGTGCAGCTAAGCCCACAATTCTTGAAATGCCAGTAGTTACATGTGTGTGTCACACGCCATGCGCATTCAAAAATGCAAAGCCGCCCGCGCACCGCTTATCATCCGGCCGACATTCGTGGTCCCTTGACATAAAATGGAATCTTGTTTCGCTGGCTTCTTTTTGTTTTTTTTTGTTTTTTTTCCCCTCTTTTCATAAAGCGCAAGAAAAAAAAATTATCCACGCCCTGCTTCTCCTTGTTGTTGAAAAAACTGCTAATTCAAAGCCCTCAAAAGAAAAAAAAAAACACACAGACGCATACACACACAGGTGTAAAAGAATATATACAAACTCATACATATATATATAATGTATGGAATAAGAGAGGAAGAAATAATAATAATAATAAAGTTACAAAGAGGGAAATATAAAAATATATATTATTACTATTATCGCTCACTCAATAAGCAATTCCTCTTTTCATTCCCTCCCCCTCTCCCCCTCTCTCTCTGACTGAGTGTCTGTGTGTCTGCGTGTTTGTGTTTGTGTTTGTGTGTTTGTCATGTCCCCGCCATTATTTACATTGAACCCAAATGGGTAGACCAACCGTTACACTTCCTCTACAGAAAAAAAAAAAAAAAAAATAGTAATGCACATCCATTTTGCTTATGGAACTCCAATCGCAGCATGTTGATGGTGCAAAAATGCATGGAGGTAGAACTCCGGACCCCCATTGCACAAGAGAGTAAATACGCCAAGAAGAAAAGCAAACGTATCGGTGAAAAACGCAAACAAAAGACACTGGGATGAGAAAAGAGAGAGAGAGGGATGCTGTTGTTCCTTCACTACTTCTCGTTGATGGTCCACAGCTTGAGTGTGTCGTCTAGAGAAGATGTTAGTAATTTGTTCCCCACAACATCCAAATGATAGACGGTGCTGTGGTGCCCAGTAATTGTCTCAAAAAGCTCTCCTGTCGCGGCGTCCCACACCATGACGGTCCAGTCCCTGGCGCAGGAATATATGTACTTGTTGTTGGTAGAGAAAGCGGCATGATGAATAGGAACCTGATGGCCCTTCCAGGAAAGAATACAATTCCTGTTTTTCCAGTCCCATACCCTCAGTTCATGATTCATCGAGGCTGTAACAATGCGAGCGTCATCGTGTGAAAACTTGCAGGACCAAACAGTGTCGGTGTGGCCAGCCATGGAACAGTACTCATCATCTTTGGCCCAGTCCCATACCTTTATCAAGCGGTCGTCTCCACCAGATACAACGTATTTCCCACAGTCGGTGTTGCTGAAGCAGCAAGAAAAGACAGCGAGACTGTGGCTCCGCAGGGTTAACATCTTCGTGCCGGAGTCGGCGTTCCAAATCCTCACCGTGTGGTCACAGGACGCGGAGACAATGTAGTCGCCAGTGGAGTTGTATTGCACGCAGTAGACCTTGTCGTCGTGTCCCTTCAAGGTGTAAACCTTCGCGCAGGTGGTCGTGTTCCACACCTTAATGGTGCGGTCATCAGAAGAGGAAACGATGCGATTTCCACGCGGCGAGAAGTCGCACGAAAGCACAAACCCGTTGTGACCGCCCTTCATGACGGAAGAGCTGCCGGTTACGGTGTTCCACAGTCGCACGGAGCGGTCCCGGCTGGCGGTACAAAAACGCTCCCCTTTCGGTGAAAAAGAGCAGCAATAAACAGCAGAGGCGTGTCCGGTGTACGACCTCTCCTCCCGGACATCCAACTTGCCGTTTGAAAAGGCTTTTATCTTAAATACATCGCCGCCCTTTGTGTCGGTTAGTTTGTCATCCGACACCTTCTTGCGAGTCTCTGGTGGAGCACAGATGAGTTTCATGCGTTTGCCTTCTTGCGTGTGATTCTGGCTCATCTCAAGAAACATACAGAACACATCGTCATCGTCCATGTCAATTAAATCCTCACCTTCGTTAAATGACATCACCATCTTGCGTCCAAATTTCTTTTCCACCATCGCACAAAACTCTTCAAATGTTGTATTGGGGGAAATGTAAAGAACTTTGTTTGCCATGCTGTTTTCCTCCTGACAATAGATGGCAATCTTCCCCCGTGTTGAGCGTAGTGTCATCGTCAGCGCATCATCCTCAGCACCAGCACCAGGGCCGGTGTTTCGTGTCATTGCACCCACCGTTGAAAACGTGTTTGACTCCTCACGCATACGCGCCGTAAGATCCATTTCAGGCTGCTCAAGTACCTGCTTGATGAAGTTGCTGATAGAGTCACGCTCCTCCACCGACATACCCGTGATTTCTTCAATGGCATCCACGCCGCTAGTAGAAGAGGTATTCATTATTTGCTGCTGCTGCTGTGGTGGTGGCGGTGGTGGTGGTGGTGGTTGCTCGATTGACCGTGACGAAGACTGCGCAGCCAGCTCACCGGCAGTGTCCTTCTTTTTCGCTGCCTTCCGTGCGTTCTTCGCATCCATCGCAGCCGTAAACATCGACATTATTTCTTCATCGCTAGCGGAAGACTCCGGAAGATTCACACGAAATGTCTCTACCACCAACTCTCGCGTTGCATCTTGTTTTATAAGCAACTCAATCACAGCGTACTGCTTGCTGCTTGGAAGACCCTCATACGAAAACTGCTTCCCTTTAAAGCTCAGTGTTATCCTCTCTGGTTTCTCCTTCTGTTGCTCTTCACTGACGACTTCTCCCATCTTGCGCTTCTTCTTCTCCGCGTAAGCCCGCTGGGCGTCAAGAAACTGCTGCTGAATGTTTTCGTCCGTGTACCTCGCGGCGTCCTCAATGTTTTCACGAAATGCCTTAACCGCGACAGACGGGTCGACTTTCATCTTGACAAGGATATCGAGTAAATCCTTCTTGCGGCTCTCCGGTCGCCCCTCATATACCACAGTCTTCCCTTTTATGCTCAACTTTAGCTTCGCCTTACTCATGATTTAATTGTCGTTCCGAGGCCCAGTGATCTTATGTACTGGAGTCCCCTACTGTTTATGGAAATTATTGTCGCTCCTGATATCCGGTGTACCTTCCGCGGCTAATGGCTTTGCTAAAATAAACGCACTTTTCGTCATTGCATCATATATATATGGGCATAAAAAAAAAAAAAAAAAAAAAAAAAAAAAAAAAAAAAAAAAACGTCGCACAGACAGGGTGGAGAAAGCACCATATAACTATAGACATAACAATCATTCCATCAGTACGTGAATATTCAAAACAACACTAAAAATATCAATCGATATATAGATATAGATATATTGCTTTGTTTAATTGTATAATCAATTTCACCCTATGTATATATGTCGATAATGGTGTTACTAACTGCTAAATTTGCGATACTCTCCGCCCTTCTCATAGGCTCGCCGTTCCTCACAACGTTGCCACTTGTTATAAACCTGCCGTAGCTGTGCCTCACGGCTCCTGCACTCGTTTTCCATGTCAACAATGTCGCGCTGCAGCTTGAGGACTGAGTGAGTGATGCCATCTATGCTGCTGCGCGCTTCTTCAAGGTTGCCCTTCATATCAAGTCGCCGTTGTTTGATGGATGCCGCCCGCTCTGCCAACTCGAGACACTTCACTTCAGCATCCTCCTCGGCAAGGCGAGCCTGGGCCTTTGCTTCATTAATCCGCTGTGCAAGAAAATCCTGTTGTTTCTGCATTTCCGACATTTGTGTCTCCATCAGCTCCCGCTGTGCCCGTTCTGACCGGATACGCTCGTGTAACTCATTGTGTTTTTGCTCCAGGCTCTGCAGCACATTAGCGGAGGCCTGTGCCAATTCAATAAGGGCAATGTTAGCCTCCCTCGTCCCTGTCATCCTCGCACGCCAGCGGCTCGGGTTTTGATCATGGCCCACAGTTGTGAGCCGCATCCGAGCCAAGGCAAGCTGCAGAAAAGAGACCCATTGACGTTTTTCCTCATCACTAGGGGTGCGGAGATAAAAAACGTCGTTTGATTCATTCACGGTAACGGCAAAGTAGTGATAGCGACGGTCTATGCAATTTGGGTGCGTCGAAGCATCTACGCCTGATATTATCACACTGTTCCTTGTAAACACCTTGTATCCCTTTGGCTTCTCACTGGTGGCGCTCGTCTCATAATAGTGCATTCCCTTGTCGTTCACGCGAAAATACCGCTTCTGCCATTTCACACCCATGCGGCGGGTGTCGGGTGAGAGCTTCTCCAGGTATCCGTCTTTCACCACTGTCTCTGAAAACAGCTGCAGGTATTGCGGACCTACCGGCTGCCAGAGCGCCTCAAACGACTGTACAATACTCTCCCCGCAAGCCGTGCAGAGCGTGCCGATTGCCTGACCAAATTTATTGCCAAGCATTACCCGAATTCGCTGTTTGCCCCCTCTTATTTTGCGTAATTCAACTGTTGTTGGTGAATCGAGAGACCTGTGCTCCCCTGTTATTGTTGTTGAAGACAGTGTGGCTGTTTTTGCGCAATCCGTAGACAATCCATCGTTTTTTGCGGAGTCACAGTGCGTACGCAAAGAATTATCCTCATACTCGTCATCAGTATCGTCATCATTATTTGTGGCGTCTTCGCAAGAATGTACAAAAAGTCGGTACCAATACTCCTCGTCACGCGGATACGCTGCGGCCTCATCGCCACTGAATTCGGCTGACTCGTTGGAAGCGTATTCGTCGATAAGAGCGCGACCGTTCACAAGAGTCATTGGTAGATGCTCGGCCGCATTCACCCTGTCATTATCACCGCCATTAGTATCGCCGTTATCACTCCATTTCTCCTCTTCGATGTGACTTCTGTCAGCATCGATACGACGGCGACTGAAGAGGCGCGTTAACGCCGTTGGGGCAGATCTCGCCGGCTCTGGCCCCAACTCTCGCGTGAGCCGCTCAATGAGTTCCTCCTCGTGGCCAAGATGATCGGCAACCAGCGAATTCACTTCCTGCAAACGTGCCGGGCTGTAGCGCACAAAAAGACGCCGCAGTCGGTTCTCGTAATCCCCAAAAGTCGCCCCCACAAAATCTAGTAGCTGCTCCTCTGGCATAAGAGTGTAAAATATATTCTCCGCACCTCTCCCGGTCCCAACAAGCCAATTAGCAAAAAGCTGCCGTTCCTCGCAGTCGTTGTTATCACCACCCCCGTCCGAAACAAACCTCTTCTTCGTGTTTTCATTCCCCGCACTTCTGCTGTCCTCTGTCTCGTAATCCCCAGCTGGCTCCGGACCATACATTGCAACAAGACTGTCGATAAGCTTATTCATACCCTCCGCCCCAGCAGCCTCGATAAGAGCATCCATACCGCTCAACTTCTCCGGGGCGTACATCGTAAAGAAACGTGATAAACGCTCCCTGGACGCAGTGGCTTGTGACGAAGGGGAAAAGGACTCAGCCCTCAACTCTTTAGAAGCAGTGGTGGGCAACTCACTTATGGCATCAAACAAATAGCGCTTCTGGCACCACAATGCCAGAAGCACTTCCTCGTACGATACCTCAGCCACACGCAAGACCTTTTCAATGACGTTCCTCGTTGAAATGCCTTCAGAATGCAAACGCTTAACATCTTTAACACCACTCGGCGGCGGCTTTTTTTGCTCCAAAAGATGCGGTTCATCCCGTGAAGGCTCCGGGCCGTATTTCCTCACCAGTACCTCAAACATCTGCTCCTCCCTTCCCTTGTATGCCTTCAAAATGCCGTCAATCGTGCCAAGCTTCCCAGGATTGTACTTCCGCATAAAACGCTCAAGGCGCAGTCGGACATCTTCGGTTTCTTCAGTGAGTACAGAGGAGGATTGGGCGGTTTTGGCAGAAGCAGTGTCAGGCAGCTCATCCCGTGAAGGCTCCGGGCCGTATTTCCTCACCAGTGCCTCAAACATCTGCTCCTCTCTTCCCTTGTATGCCTTCAAAATGCCGTCAATCGTGCCAAGCTTCCCAGGATTGTACTTCCGCATAAAACGCTCAAGGCGCAGTCGGACATCTTCGGTTTCTTCAGTGAGTACAGAGGAGGATTGGGCGGTTTTGGCAGAAGCAGTGTCAGGCAGCTCATCCCGTGAAGGCTCCGGGCCGTATTTCCTCACCAGTGCCTCAAACATCTGCTCCTCCCTCCCCTTGTATGCCTTCAAAATGCCGTCAATCGTGCCAAGCTTCCCAGGATTGTACTTCCGCATAAAACGCTCAAGGCGCAGTCGGACATCTTCGGGCATTTAAATGTCTTTCTTATTGCATAAAAAAGCAACAGGTTCACCTTTTTTTTTTTTTTTGGTCACTATGAGATTGGTTTAAAAAAATAAATTAGAAAGACAAATAAAAATAAAACAGTAAAAAATAAAAAATAAAAAAAGGAAGATACAGGGAAATAATACAAGAGACAATCGAATCGGGTAAAAATTCGTCAGGTGGTAATTAAAGACGCCGACTCGTGAGTCAACATATTGAAACCCTATTGACATCAACTCTCAAATATTCCATCGGCAGAAATGTCAAGTAGAGCCTCGAGTAGTTCGGCACTCTGAAACTCCTGTTTGTATTGAAGCATCTCGTGCCGTGTTACCCACGCGTGGTCTTTCAGCGTCGGCTCAAATTCAGAAAACCTAGGCCGTCCCATCAGATAAGTCGCAGCATACATAAAGAGGCAAGTGTTGTCAACATTATTCGACACCGTCGCCTGCGGCGCGTTTGACCACACATAACAGTCCAGGGTATCGCTATTGTGCTTTGCTATCGCCCTGTCTACGCCCATGCGAAGTGTCTCCCGATCCTTCAAGGCAGTGTACGGCACTGTCCACTTGCTGCTTGCTGCGTCCTGTATGATGAGGTAAAGATAATCATCCATCTTGCGATGAATCGAATGGCGCGGAGGCGGGGTAGTGGCGCTGAGCTCTGAGGGATTCCATAGATCTTGCGGTGTCACCCGCCTCTCCGGCTTGTAGCGTTGCAGCACCACACGCATGGCATCCTGGTAGAGATCGAGGCCAAAAAAGTTACCTTTCGTCTCGCGCGGGTCAGTGCGGTTCATGACGTCGATGGAGAACCCTCTCTGACCCATGAAGTGCGTGGCAGACTCCGACGCCTCGTGTCTACAGTAACGCTGGTGCTCACGTTCCAGTAGAAAGCCCATCTCCATCTCAAGTGGATGCGGTGTGTGTTTCAACACCGGGTGCCGATGAAGGAGATAACCAACTAAAACACCGGTATTCGAGCCCGGCACCGTGTCCCCTCCAGGTATTTGTGGTATTATTGGCGTACGATGCTGCGAGTGAAAAGAGCGTCCGCTCAGGCGCGGCTGCAGCGTCATAAGCCGCATGTTTGCTATAACTTCTGCACCAGCAATGAAAAAGTGGGAGAGCCCCCTTTTTTGTTGTCGTTTTGTTGAGAGCAAGTGGCCAAAAATAAAAACAAAAACAAAAATAAGAAAACAAGAGAGTCGCAAAATGCAAACAAATGGGCGTATAATACACACGCACAACCGTAAACGGCTCACATAAAAATACACATCACCATTATCATCATCAACACTGCTGCTCATCACATCCTCGAGACTCCAATGCACCAATTCTTGCCTCCAATTCCTTCAGTCGTAGCACAACTGACTTCATTGACGTGTGCAGAAGCATTTCCAGCTGTCGCAGCCGGCTTTCAACTGTAGACGCGGCGTCAGCGACATGGCCGTCGTGGCCACCGCTTTTGTCGTCCGGGCCCACGAAGTCAAAAACAAGAGATAAAGCCACCAAGTCAATAACGTGTTTTGCCTTTCGGGCAAAAAACTTCAGCTTCAGCGTCTGTCCAGCGACCGCATTACACTCAGTGTCGTGAAGAAACAAACCTGCCGCAACGGCAACCCCCTTGTGCGTGTATATGGCGCTCTCACCGACATGGACCTCCAAAACACGCGCGTTGCTCAAAACAACCAGATGACGCAAGGGATTTTGCAGCTGCAATGTCATCCATGGGGCTGCGGCTGCCTCATTTTCGTCATCGAGCACCACTGCCGTCGTATTTGTATTCCCATCAGCCCTCGATGCGGCAACAGCCTCCGCATGCATGCGTGCAGATTGTGCATCTTCGCAGAACATAAGGTTTGGGGGCGGGCAGTCGTGGCGGTGCACCCGCCAGCTGCATGTCACAGTGCCGTCCATCTCCCTCAGAAGAAGAAGAAGAAGAAGAAAGAAAAAAAAAGGAAATAAAAGAAAAGTTTGGAAATAATACACACAAAACCCAAGTGAAAAGTAGCAGAAATGTGAAACGTTAAAAACAACAAAAACACCTTCCAGAGAGTGACGATGGCAATCAACAACAGCACGTGTATCCAAAATAATGCACTGCACCGCAGCGAGATGCAGGTAATAATAATAATAATAATAAAATAAATAAATAAAAAATAAAAAAAGTGCTCCGCCTCCTGGTACTTTGAAATCCTCGCTATATATATATATATGTTTGTTTGTTTGTTTTAGCACGGTGGGGAGTAAAAAGGGTGCCTTAATCTATCCCACTCCCACGCCTCTACACACTCGGTGCATGCGCACCACAACACACACAAAACAACTCTAATTAATCTATTACCATAATGAAATACACGCAATATATATATATATATATATGTATTGCGTGTGTGTCGGCGAAGTAGTAAATGGGAATGACAAGGAAGAACAAAGAGCAGCAGTAATTGGTAGAGAAAGGAAAAAAAAAAAGGAGTAGCAGAAGAAATGCGTTGTAAATCCAAATGCGCTTCCAGCTCTTCCTTTTATATGTTTCCGTGATATGTGTTTATTTCCTTTTCCTTCCATCCTCCCTCTTCTTATTCCTCACTCATCCATGAGCGGAGCTGCGCTACCACCGACTTGTGGGGCGGGTGTAACTTGTAGCGAGCGCACCAACCCGCCATGCAGCCTGTTGCCAATCTTGTGACCGTACGGGCTGGTGTGTAGTAGCGGCCTCACACGGCTTGAGACCTCACTGAACTCCTCCAAGTCATTGGACGAGTCGATAATCGCCTGCAGAACAAAGTTACCAAACCCGTCCTGCATAAGACATCTGAGATTACTTGCGTCCATGACAAGTTCATCCACCACTTCCTTACGCGCCACCCCGTCGAGTTGCCACACAACTTTTTCGATGACATTGGAGGCAAACTTGTTGCATGAAAGTGTTAACCAGTGTCCCGCAAAGTTGTGGCAGACAACCGACACAAGAGAGGCATGGTCCATGTGTTGAAGCAGACACTGCACCACGTAGTTGCCGTAGCAGTTCATCGTGAGGCTTGGCAAAACTGGAAGTAGCATCGAGATAACGGACCGCCGCTGGTGTGGTAGAGAATTTTCAATGGTGCGAATGACGGCGATGCATCCCTGTTGTGAGACTGCCAGTTGTTGACCGCTTTGTGCAATCGTCGTCACAATTGGTGTAAGGGCCTCGCTCTTATGGCGCTCAAATATGCTTTGCACAACGCGGCGGGTGTGCTGCGAGCTGACAGCCAATTCAATTATTGTCTTCGGTGCAAAGTGCGGCAGAATCGTTTCCAACAGCTCGGTTGAGATAAGTTCAATGAGAGCACGCACAACGTGACATCCCTGCTGATCAAGCGCGACAATGTTAAGCTGCGGAAGAAGCTCGTCAATAATGATCTGCACCTTTTCCGTATGCTGCAGGCGGAGGACCGAGACAAGAAGGTGGCGGCCAGTCACTGTGCATGCCGTCCGCGGAATGTTTCCCACAACAGCAAAAAATTGCTCCAGTAAGTTGCTGCTCAAAAGAACCAATTCCGCCCCACTAGCCTCTCGCGCAAAGCAATTGTTGTAAACCTGTATGGAGCTATCACAGCTAGTGTTATTAGAGGAGTTCAGCTGCCGTGAGGTGTTAGTGGAGCTGCACGATGTAGTCGCTGACTGCGACGCATATGGGTTGTGTGTGTAGCGACGAATTCGTCCAGCCATTATCGCACTGCCTTGTGTGGTGGCACTGCAGTTGATATCCGTCGATGTCCGCGGTGGGAGCACCTGCTTCAAATAAGGGCCACTGAATGCCACGTGGTCATTTGGGTCGTTTGACGCGGCCATGACCATTACCTTCCAGTATTCGCCCTTGCGGGCGATGTGGTAAAGAAGTATATTCAAAATAATAATAATAAAGAAAAAAAATAAGATAATAAAAAAAATAAACGTTTTATTTTTGTTTTTGTTTTTGTTTTTTAATGTATAAAAACCTCTGCATCAAAATTGGGTAAACAATTATATATGTATGCGTGTATATCTTTCTTTTTTTTTTTTTTTTCATACATTGTAGATACATATATATATACAAACGGGGAGGATTGCATATTGTCGTCACCGCTGACTCCTTTTTTTTTTTTTTTTTTCGTGGCTATAGTGGTACCAAATAGCGGCCGCCTTTACGTCGCGGGGTAATACTCCTAGATGGCAAGGCCGGTGAAGAATGCCTGGTGCCGCCGTTGGCCACACCGCGCGGGAGTGGTGGTAATGGGGCAGTTTGTTGAGTACCCCACGCGGAAATCAGCTTCATGGCGTCAAATGTTGGGAGAGATGTCACATTATCACTGGCAATTGCCGCCGCAGCCGTATTGGGATTGCTGTTTGGAGAAACTGCTCGGCGCTCTGCTGTCCGCATGCTCTGCTCACGCTCCAATGAGCTGATGTGCATGAGCGCTCGCTCCCGCGTAACGGTGTCAAGTCGGTTTGTAATGGTCATCGCAAGAGCCTTCCAGCGCGAACGCTCAAACGACAAGGCCTCCATCTCCTCCTTCAGCCGCCTACAGTCCAGCTCCGTCTCCCTGTAACGCGATTCGGTAAAGTTCAAAAGGCAGCGTGTCGTCCGCAATTCTCCCTCCATCTGCTTCAACTGTCTGCAGCATTTGAGAGCCTCCGCCATCCGACAGTCCCCTTTCTCAACGGCAGCCTCCAGCTCCGCGCACTTTGCTTTTGCCGCATCGCGTTCGCTGGCCAATTGCTCCACTAAGCGGCTAAGCCGCAAATTCTCTTTTTGGTGCAGTGAGGCGTCCCTGTCACAATTCACGGTAGCGGTAGCAGAGGGATTTGCCACCTCATTGGATGCGGCAGCCTCAAGTGTCGACAGCCGCGACTTCATGGCTGTAACCATCTCGCGGAGGGTGTCAATGACGCGTTGCTGCTCCATAATTGTTTTGATGGACAACTCGGCCCCCGTATCGGTAGACGGCCCCGCGTTCTCCACTCCATCGTTCATCTGCTTGTATCCACTGCAGCAATGCCAGGGGGTGGAAAAAGAAAAAAAAAAAATTACCACAATTCACCCACAAATATTTGAGGTGAGCACACAATATATTTGCGTACTCCTTCTCCGTGTATCGCCACAGTGGACGCATCCTACTAAAAAAAAAAAGTTTTTAGAAAAAAAAGAAAAATGTCAGTCACACACCTACCGGCATACCGCAATAAGGAACGCCATGACCTCAAAGGAGCCGCGCTCAATGGCCTCGCAGAGCGCCACCACATCTAAAAACTCCTCGTTACTGCATCTTTTTTCCAGCTGCCTCACATCCTCGGAGTATTGCAACTTCCCCTGCAACGGCGACCCCTGCGATGTGCCGTCTGCATATTGGTTGGCAATAATGCCTACGGACGGAAGTGTCCAGCCATTGTGGTAACGCACACAGATGCAAAAGCCAAACTGCGTGGCATCATCCACAACACAGAAGGTGGCACAACGTACCGACACGTCCCCGCCGTTACCACATTCCCCAGGGTAATTCGTCGCAACGTTGACACTAATGGGCCGACCAAAGACAGACGACATCATGCAGACCAATTCAAGAAAATGCAAGGGCTCACGCAGCGAAACAAAGAGCGCCCGCTCGAGCAACGGAATGTAATCCATAAAGCTCGCACCGCGCTGCAGAGTCGATGAATACCGCGGCATTCGTCGGAATTTTACGCAGCTTGTAATGAACGACATAAAGGAAACTTCAGTGGAATTATTGGGCTCCCCCAGGTCCATTGAGATGCGTTCAGACAACACATCTACGGGCGCATCGCGACTGTTGGCGCAGCAACTAATGATAAGTGAAATCTCCACGCGTGAAAATTGCGGCACGGTATCAAGGCGCAGCTGCAAGACCTTCGAGTACAGCTCCACCACGTTTGACAGGTTGCGTCGCACACGCGCCCTCTCCTCAAGCAGCAGTGGGATGGCAAGTGTAATGTACACGCAACCGTCAACGGCCTGCACAACGCCCTCCACACGGCGACCATCATGGCTGACAATGCTGCTCAGGTATACATCATACTCAAAGCCCATCGTCTTACTATGGGCACGCAACGCTTCGGGTAACTCGCGTGTACACTTCTCCGTGTAACTGCGTTCAATCCACCGCACGAGTGCACGCACTCGACTCGAAATGGAATCAGCCGGTGAAAAGCACGGCTTTTTTGCAAATTCTAGCCATGAGTAGTCAACAATGCGCTCCCGATCACTGGTGGAATTTTTTGCCACGTCGCAGATTACAAAGTCCAAGTCTGCCGTGCCCTCCATCTC